AAGGAAGGAAGGAAGGAAGGAAGGAAGGAAGGAAGGAAGGAAGAAAGAAAGAAAGAAAGAAAGAAAGAAAGAAAGAAAGAAAGAAAGAAAGAAAGAAAGAAAGAAAGAAAGAAAGAAAACCCTCAGGCTATCTTTTTGAAATATTTTGTGTCTTTAGAATTAAATAATACATTTGAGTGGGCCAGTGCTAATAATGGTAGAGTTTAAAAAATGTGTTGAGGTTTGCTTGGGCCACTGTCATGTCAGTCTTCTTCCTTTCTTGAGACAACTACTTTATTCTTGAGATTGAGTCCAGATCACCAAACACTCCCTTTGTTTTAATTTCAGCTACAGGCAATTCAGTTCATGTCAGTCTATATGTATCAGATGTAAACTTTGCATGTTTTGTTTTGTTTTTGTTGTTTGTTTTTCCCATCTCACTCTCATTTATTACCTTCATACCAGTCTACTCTTTCAGCCTGAAAGGGGGACAGGCAGATCATGACTCCCAGTCATCCCAGAAAGTAGGTGGGTCACCTTAGGGCAAATTTTACCTATTCAAAAATTCATCTTACATTAGCAGTGAAGATTTGGGCATCTCCCCAAACAATTTTTCTCCTTACTCATAAGTTTAAATCATTAAACTTTTCAGTGTTTACTACTCAACAGCCCACATCATTTTGTTCATACCTGTTTTTTGACCAAATCTTAGTTCTAGCAAAACCTGTGTCTTCTGTGGCTGAAGATGTAGAATTCGATGCAAATACTGCCATGGGTAATTATGAATTATACTACATATTAATGGAATAGTCCTCCATTTTCCAAACTAATTAATGCAGTGGAAAGTCCTGGATACTGTCTGTGGACATGGGATCAATTTGCTTTTGTCAATTGTTACTTCTACTTCAGTCTATGTCTTATTACAAATGACCTTTAAGAAAGAAAATCTGTGTCTGTAATTTATCAAATGTAAGTTCTTGTAAAGCAATGAGCCAGAATACCTAAAATTGTGTTGTGTTAATAAATGGCTCTATAATCTCAGTGTCTTTATGTAATAAAAGTGTCTTCCTTGCTCATACTACATGGCCATTGAAAGCAGGCAAGAGATATCTTGCTCATTATCCTCAATACAGAGTCAGGCTAAATGAGAAGCCGCCATTTCTGGCATTTCCACTTTCTGAGCCAAAGTAAAAAGAACTCTGCCAAGGGGTAATTAAAATGTGCTAGCTCAAAAATGACACATTTACAACTGATTGGCTAGAAGAAGTCATATGACAGGAAGGGGGGAGAGGAGGTGCTATATGCCAATGACAGTAAATACAATTCTACATGTGTCCTAAAAGAAGAGGAACTGGAAATATTTTTATTAAATCCTTAATGATTGTCTTAGCACTCTATAGCCTTCTGTAAGACTTTTGTAGACTGCTTCATTGAGGTTCAAATACATGGTTTCTTTACAACTTGGCCTGAGGAATAAGTCCTTGAGGGAAAGCTAGGTGACAAATGCCTGCTGAGCCAAGGAAGGAGAGAGAAGAACATAGCATTCACCTTTCTGCCATGGATTGTGATTTGTTAGAAAATACAGGCTCATGTCAGTATTCATGTCCTTCCTGACACTTGCACAAAAGCAATCCCATGACTGACTCACCCCAGCACGTTTCCAAATGCTGGTAGACACAAAGCATTTAGTGGCACTATGTCTCTGATACTTCCTGGGGGAAAACCAAGTTTATCTGCCACTTTACTGGCATCTTTGGACTTCGGCTCCTCTGTGAAATACTTCCACACAGAAAATCAAAAAACTACTATTAATCATTCACTTGCAAAGTGGATCAGATTGAAAAACAGTTTTTTGCCTTTACTTTGCTTGAGGGAATTCCTTGGTCCACTCCCAAGCATTCTGTCTACCTCTTCAGATTTCACAAAGAAATGTTAACCATAATCTCAAATTCACTGTCTATTAATTAGGCAGATACATCTATCTACCTTCACCTGGTAACATCGAACTTCATTATAGTTCAGACTCTTACCCAAGGTATAATAAGCCTGTGCTACTTAAAATTACCAAGAACTCAGCTAAACATTTTCCTTTCTTTCTCCCTCCCTCCCTCCCACTTCCCTTCCTTTCTTTTCTCTCTCTCTCTTCTTTCTTTCTCTTTCTTTCCTTCTTTCTATTTCTTCCTTCTGTTCGTTCGTTCGTTCTTTCTTTCTTTCTTTCTTTCTTTCTTTCTTTCTTTCTTTCTCTTTCTTTCTTTCTTTCTTTCTTTCTTTCTTTCTTTCTTTCTTTCTCTCTCTCTCTCTCTCTCTCTCTCTCTCTCTCTTTCTTTCTTGCTTTTTTTAGCTCCATTGAGGTATAACTTACATATAATAATAAACTACACATATTTAAAATATACATTTTGATGTGCTTTGACTTCTATAAACACCAGTGAAACCATCAACACAATCACAAAAAAATCGTATCATATCCATCACCCCCAAAAGTTTTCTGGTATCCCTTTGTTACCTTTCCTCTGACTCTCCCTTTCTGTATACTCTTTCTTTTGTCTGACTTCTTTCACTCAGCATACTTATTTTGAGATTTATCCATGTCGTTATGTGTATCAGTGGTTGATTCTTTTTTCTTGCTAAGTAGTATTCAATTACATGGTTTATGCATTCACCTGTTGATGAGCATGTGGGTTGTTTCTAGTTTTTTTTTTTTAAATATTCCTAATAAATATTCTACGGCAATTTGTATATAACCTTTGTATGAATATATGCTCTCATTTCTCTTGGGTAAATACCTATGATTGGAATGATGGTATCCTATGGTAGGTATATATTTAAATTTTTAGGAAACTACAAAACTATTTTCCAAAGTTGTTGTACCATGCCATATTCTCAAAAGCACTGAATGAGAGTTCCAAGTTTCCATACTTTATCACACAACACATGATATTATCAATCTTTTCCATTTTAATACATGTTTTCCGACATTTCCATATAGTTTTGGTTTGCATTTCCCTAATGACTAATGATGTTGAACATCTTTCCATATGCTTCTTTGCTACCCATACATCAATCTGGGTAAACTATCTGTTCAAATTCTTTGCCCATTTTTTATTTGAGCTTTTTGTTTTCTTATTATTAAGACATTTGCTCCTAAAATTGCTAGTTTTGAAATGATTACTAACTATAAACAGTACTTTGAGGAAGTACACAAAGATGCTGTGGCCCTCAACCATTTGAGAGTCATTTGTTAATCTGATGCTGCATCGTCTCCTACTGCATCAATGTGCAATTCCTATAAGTAGGAGATTACCTTATATAAACATAATACAACCATCAAATTTAGGAAAATAACATTATATAATATTGCCATCTAATAGTCAAACCCTGGTCAAGTTTTGCCAATTTTTCCAAAATTATTGTTTCAATTTTTGCCATTGCTCATAAAGCACAAAAATCCAGTTCAGAATCACACATTGAAACTTTTTTAGTTTCCTTCAGTCTGCAACATTTCTTCACTCTTACTTAGATCTTTAGTACTTTGACACTTTGGGAGATTGCAGGTCAGTTATTTTGGAGAATGTCCTTTAATTTAGGTTTAAATTTTGGTTATATATTTTTGACAGGAATATCTAGAAGGGATGGTGAATTCTTCTCACTGGATACTATTAGTTTTTTAAGACAACTTTATTGAGGTATAACTGAAAGGCAATAAACTGCTTATAGTATACAATTTGAAAAGATTTGACCTATATGTATACTGTTACTACAATCCAGATGATGAATGCATCAATATCTCCCAAAAGTAGCCTGAAGCCTTTCTCTCTCTCTACAACCCTTCTCCCCCGCCCAGACAACTGATCTGCTTTTTGTCACTGTAGATTAGTTTATCTTTTTTAGAATTTTACTTAAATTTTATTTAAATGTACTATTTTTGCCTGGCTTCTTTCATTTGGCATAATTATTTTGAGATTCATCCATGTTGTAGCATGCATCAATATTTATTCCTTATTTTTAAGAAGTATTCTATTGCATGGTACACCACAGTTGTTGGCACTTGTTGATGGATATTTGGGTTTTTTCCAGTTTTTGACTATTACAAATAAAGCTGCTATGAACATGCATGCACATGTCTTTGTGTGGACATATGCTTTTATTTCTCTTGGGAAAATACTTGGCATGCAAGCTGGATCATATGGTAGGTGTATGTTTAATTCTTTAAGAAATTGCCAAGTATTTTCCCAAAATGGTTTGTGCTTTAACCACCAGCAAAGTGGTTAAATGCTTTTACATCCATCAGCATTTAATCAGAAACCCACTTTGTCCACTTCCTCACCAGCACTTGATAAGGACAGACTTTTTATTTAGCCATTCTAAAAGCTATGCAGTGGTATATCATCATGGTTTCAGTTTGCTTTTCCCAAATGACTAATAGTGTTTGGAGTTTTTTCATGCCCCTATTTATCATTCATATGTCATGAGCTTTTAATGGATTACTCAAAATATGCTTGTTAGCAAAATTTCAATGCTGTATTCATAATGAAAATCTGTGGCTCTGTCACAATTCCTTATCTTTTTTGAGGGAAGGTGAGGCAAGACCTCTGTGTTTTCTGTTCTAATCATCAACATTTGGTTCTTTATTGAGTAGTTGAATACCTGGTATACCCATCTCTGAGTCCTTCAAAAGTACAGATATACAAACATAGAAAGACCTGGGTGTTCCCCTTAAAGTATTTTTCTGGTTGTTACCACTTGGTTCTGTTTGTTTGTTTGCTTACTTTGGTACAGTGGCTTACTGATTACGAGCAGACTATGGTACTCAAACATATAGAAGTAATGACATTTTCCATGTTGGCTTTCCATTTGTTGGCACTCTTTCTCAACTAGCAGAGTTTTTGTTTCATTTTGTTTTGTTTTTTGTTGTTTTGCATCATATTGTTTTGTTTTTTAGTTAGAGACTTTTAATTTCCTCAGAGGTACTAAATTTCATGCTAGGTACAAGGAAGTATTCTAGGAATAAAATAATTAATGTCCTATGCACTTTGGGATAAAAATAATAACATCTTATGTACAAACAATCCCATTTTCTCTTTCTCCTTTACACATTAGCTCAATTCAATCCCAATTATCCCTTGGAGTTAGAAGTCATGTGACTGAGTTCTAACCAACTGAACAGGAATATACATAACATGTGTCACCTCCAGATCTGGCTCATTAAAACCCATCCCACAGGATCCTCAATATTCTTTCACCTTCTTTTGACAAGTGTTGAAGATGACAGATCAACAAGATGGAATGACACTGGGTACCATAATCGCATTTGGAAAACAATACATGGACCAGGAACATTAGTTTGATAGATGATGTGAATAATTTCCATTGTTTTAAGCCACTGAAACTTAGAAATTTGCCTGTTACAGCAACTAGCATCACTCTTACTAATAAAGAAGTCACTAGGTCCAAAGGATAGGTCAATAATAAGGTGTCTACATTTTTCTACTGACATTTCTTCCTCCTTGTTTGGACTTCAGACTTCTAGCCCTTGATGGAATACTGAAGCCCACTGAGACAACATTGCTTGGAGTTTAATTGAAAGGCATAACTACTATGCAACAGTCCTTTTAATCAAGATGTTAAAAGGAAACTTTA